TTTGTATGTTTACACAGGAAAAAAATAGCTGGTTCATACGGTAGATCTATTTTGAGTAACCTCTATGTATTGGTATATTGGCTGCAATAATTTACATTCCTATCAACAGTATATAAATTCCTTTTTCTTTATATCCTTGCTAGCATTTGGGTTTTTTGTTTATTAATAATAGCCACTCTAACTGAGTGAAATGGAATATCATTGTAGTTTTGACTTGCATTCCCTGATGGTTGATGATAATGTTAGGGTCTGGCGAAATGTCGGAGGAGAGACCACAAGAGACTGTCTTATGCAACAGCAGAAGGGTGGGTTTATTTGGAGACCAGCATGCTGGGGCCCAGAGCTCTCTATAGCAAAGAGAGATAGAGCCCTGAGAATAGCTTAAGCAGAGATTATATACTTTCCTTGGAGAGGGCAGGGAGAGAAGTTACATTTTGTAGTTTGGAAGTTGGGGACAGCTCATTCTGGGAACAAGATTAGCAGACAGTCCACAGTTGGGGACAGCACATTCTGGGAACAATTCTGTGAACAAGATTAGCAAACAGTTCTTAAGATTTCAACAGTGTTTTGTTAAGCATATAGAGAAACGGAGTGACAAGTACCTATTTTATTAACCTTTCATTCCCCACTTCTTCTTCTGGATACTTTTAATCATAAAAGTGATCATTGGGGGGTGTCACATTTCATGTCTGTTAGTGGGGTATATTGTTGTCTGATTACCATAAGTTTGATTTGTCCAATTTGGGATTGGAGAAAGGAAATTACATGGTTGAGCAAACAGGGTCCTAGAGTTAGCAACAATATAAGAATTATTAAAGGACCGGCCAGGGCTGATAAAAGCGTAGTTAACCAGGAGGACTGTGTGAACCAAGATTTATATCACCCTTTTTGGGTCTCTCTCTCTCATTGACGCTCTTTAAGGTGTCTTTTTAATTTACTCATAGATTTTTTTATAACTCTAGTATGGTCGGCATAAAAACAACATTTTTTCCTTAATGCAGCATAAAGGCCTTCTTCTCTCATGAAGAGGAGGTCTAATCCTCACCTGTTCTGTAAAACAACTTGAGAGAGAGAGAGAGGTTAAAGATTCCTGCAGAGCTGTGATGGAGGTTTCTAATATCTTTAAGTTTTGGTCCATTGCTGTTTCTAATTGGGTCATTTGTTGTGTCCCACGGACCAGGGAAGTGGTTCCTGTGCCCACCCCTGCAGCAATTCCCATTCCTAATAAGATGGCTAGAGTGAGGGATACAGGTTCCCGGCGGAACCAGGTTGTATATCCCCTTATTTGATCTTTAAATGAACCTGCGTCATGATAGAGCACCCTGGGAAACATCTGCACTATTATACAATTAATTACATTTGTTGACCGTTTTATGAAAACATAAATAATGTTTAAGTATATAGAATTATACTGTTGTAGGGACGGACAAGGCAAGGCACCTAAGATAGCACTGAAGA